TTGACCCCGAACCCCCACATCCTGACTCGCTCACCCGATCTGCCTTGCCCGAGGCGCATAGATGCCGAGTTGAACGCCAGTCGGGCCCGATGCTGATTGGCTGATCCTGAACAAGGGGAGGGGCGACAGACAGTGGAACCCAAGGCACGTGTGTAATAGCATGAACAAGTATCGCTCTACCTAACGCCCGAGTGGCTCAAGTCAACCACACTGCTTGTGCTGGTTAAAGTTTCGGGCCTAGCGGACTGGGGCAGGGCGGAGTGTCGCAGCGGTGCCAGGTCAGTGCGCCGCGACGTGACGGCCGGGAATCGGTCTCCTGACCTGCTCTAGAGGATGCTCCTGATGGCAGTCACCAGCACGGTGAGGTAACGGACAGGAGTCGGTCTCCTGACCTGCTCTAGAGGATGCTCCTGATGGCAGTCACCAGCACGGTGAGGTAACGGACAGGAGTCGGTCTCCTGACCTGCTCTAGAGGATGCTCCTGATGGCAGTCACCAGCACGGTGAGGTAACGGACAGGAGTCGATCTCCTGACCTGCTCTAGAGGATGCTCCTGATAACAGCCGCCAGCCAACAGCCGACCTTCCCGAGTGCGTCACCCCCCGCAGGCCCTGGCCACTGGGAGGGAGCGGCTCGCGGCCGTCGGCTGTCGTCGCACGGAAACAACGGACGAATGCGGACAGCGGTACGCAGCAGCGAGGGCGTTGTCGGAGACGGAGATGCACGCCTCAGCGGCGCTGTGGAGTGCCGCTCAGCCATGGCTAAAATGAGGGCGGAAACCTATATGTCCGTCTGACAAAATAGACTAGACATCAGGGACGCAGGTATGGGAGAGGAGGCAAAGGTCAATAGGCCCCTGTGCCGAGAGGTTTACTGCAGATACTGGGCGGTTTCGTGGTGATGAGGGTCCAGATTCGCAGGATTTCGGAGAACATTTGACACTTGGCCCCACCTGCCGGGGAACATTTTGACGTCGTGCCTGCAGTGCATGGAACTGCGTCGGAACCGACTGCATAAGGCAACACCCATAGTCAGCCCGCCTGCTCCTGGGCTTTCATCCAAGCAGCGTCCCGGTCGCGGGCGGTGGAGTGGCAGCAGCGGACTAGGCTAATCCTGGCGCGCCGCGTCACGTTAAACCTGTGACGAGCCGGAGCCTCTTCAGCCCAGCCTCTCCAGACACGACCGACCGCCCAGCAGCAGGACCAGGGAAAGTGGAGGGGAGGGGGCATCCCGGGACACTCCCACCGACAGCACGGACACGGGGCGTGAGTGCCGATCCAGGTCGCCTGTGCCAGCGGGCCGGCGCGCGAGACCCGCGTCGGACCCTGGTCACGCGGCGGAGCGCGTCGGCCCGCAGCCTGGCAGCGAGTGCGCCGATGGCCGCCTCAAGGGACCTCAATCTCTCCGTGTTCGGGCGAGGCGGCGCCTGAGTGCCGGTATAGTCGGCGGCGGACGTGGGCCGGCGCACCGCACGGAGCGGGCCGGAGCTGCGGACGTGGGCCGGCGCACCGGACGGAGCGGGCCGGAGCTGCGGACGGAGCGGGCCGGCGCGCCGGACGGAGCGGGCCGGAGCTGCGGACGAGGCGGGCCCCGAGACTTGGAGCCATGAAGCGGGCCGGAGCTGTGGACGTGGCGGGCCCTGAGACGTGGAGCCATGAAGCGGGCCGGAGCGTGGACGTGGCGGGCCCTGAGACGTGGAGCCATGAAGCGGGCCGGAGCTGTGGACGTGGCGGGCCCTGAGACGTGGAGCCATGAAGCGGGCCGGAGCTGCGGACGAGGCGGGCCCTGAGACGTGGAGCCATGAAGCGGGCCGCAGCAGCTGTGGAGCAGTTGCGGGGAGTCGCGTGGCGGATGGCTCAGGAGCAGCAGCTTACCAGAGTCCGAGTCATGGAGAGACTGGAGGAGGGGGAATCTGGTACATAAGAACGGTGGTTATGTGGAATGATAACAAGCACGGCTAAGTGGCCTGCGGATGTTTGCCTTACAGGGGGTACCGACCAGGTAGCCGTAAGGAGAACTTTGATGCTTAACAGCTCACTTAAGGAAGAAGCTGTAGGTGTTCACCACTGCTGAATTAAAAATTCGTTCCGATTGTCCGTCCCGGTTGTTGTGAGCACGCCCAGCCGACCCGGCGGCACCACATGACGTCCCTGCCGTGTCGCGACGCGGCCTCGGCCGCGCGGTGGGATGCGACCCACCGCCGCGGGCGCTGACCGCCGTCCCGTGGCGGACCGTTCGGGACGCGTGATAGGTGCGTGTATGCAAGCTGACTTATGAGTGGCAGTTCACCCGAACTAATGTCGTGCCTGCCTGGGATAGCAGGGGCAGGACGCCACTGGACTCGGTCCAATACAGATCGCCGCGTCGCTACACGTCTCTCTCTGACCGGGCTGAGCCGAACCGCTGGACAAAGACAACACACCGGTGACTCAGTTGCTTAAAGTGCCTACATTCCGATACACCCACCCGTGGCGGGGTCGGTCTAGCCGGTCAGACACTCGCAGTTGGCCTTAACAGGTATGGCCTGCGGCCGGTGGCAGCTGCCGCGCATAAGGCCAGTCGACGTCAGGGGGAGGGACGGACTGTGCCGAACATTGCAGCACGTTAAACCTTTGCCACCAAATTCTGCCGTTGCTCTGGAATTGCGCGATCGGATGGCAGGGGTCAGGGTGCACACAAGTACCGCTTTGCGTGAGGTCTGATCCCAGAAATCCATCCACTCAAAATGTTTGGATTAAATCTCTAAAAATAATAATTATCATTTGACAAATGGACTTGCCTGCAGAGTAGGAATGACCGACTAACCTGAGCACGGGATCGGAGGGAGGCTCTTCCAGACGACAGACCAGGTAGTCGCTGCCATGCCACACCCGGGGCAGTATCGCCACTCGAGACGAGACCTCCTCACTGGGCTCTGTTGCGAGCGCTCCTGGAATTCATCTCACTGTGTTATGGGTGAAAACAGGCGAATCGGTTCTAAGATTAGAACGTGCTGAAAGCATTCCTTTGCCTGAGTTGTGTCGACTCAATTGCTCAGCTACAATGCATGATAGCGAAATGCAATGCTAGAAGCAGTGAGCGTGCAGTCCCTGAAGAGCTGACGGTAGGGTTTCGGGGAAGATGAGCTTGAGTTTGAAAGCTAATTTGAGTTCCCGATGGAATTCCATAGGGTAAATATTGCAACGCTGTCGGAGCTAGGTGGTGGAGGAAGGGCAAAGCAGGATGCTCTCTTATTCGCCATGTCTGTCTTACGGCCAACTACTCCTCCAATACCATGCTTATCTTACCATTCATTGCTGACAACAACAAAACTTGCGCGCAAAATGTCTCATGAGATATTCAGGGCAGCGTCATTTCACTCCATCATAAAGCAAATTACCACTGCACTGTTGAAGCGGTCATTCTACAACAAATTATAGATTTTTGAACAGGTTGGCTCAGGAAGTACATCGAGTTTTAAGGCTTTTCAACGGATCCGGAGTTAAGATGACTGCAGTATCCGACATCATGTTATTGGGCAGAGCTATCCCAGCACGGGTGCTCACCTGGACTTTGCCATGACCACTTCGATCCACATATCCCGACACGCCTCCAGCAGGCGCTCGTCTTGCCCCTGAGCTGAACCTGACTTGATGCTATTATCACCGTAATCGGTCTCGCTTGGTCTGACTTCATTTGCAAGTCCTATGAGCATTACCGTGCGCCCAGCACACGCCCATATATTCGGAAGGGGCCGCTGGAAGGCCGCTGGCGCGCCGAACCCTATCGATCTGCTGCACAGGACGGAACGGCGCTCGGGGCGCTAGCTCGAACACGCGGGGGAGGCACCGAACACCGGTGCACTGCAGGTCGATTACCAAAAGTCGGGATGCATTTCCGAGCGCCCCTTTTCATTTCGTTTAATGGGGCTCGAAGCCAAACAAACAAGAGCCGCTTCACATACCCAGGAAATAGACTACTAGAGCAAAGCTGGAGGTCGCTGGCGTGGTTCAGCTCCTGTACCGCCACCGGCTCATCCTGCACCAGTCCAGCCTCGGTTCGACATGACCTTACCGCACGCTCACCTGTCAGCAGGACAAGTAGAGGCGTGAGGATCGTCTGACCTGTCAGCAGGACAAGCAGAGACGTGAGGACTGTCTCACCTGTCAGCAGGACAAGTAGAGACGTGAGTACTGTCTCACCTGTCAGCAGGAGGAGAAGGGATGCGAAGACTGCCCTCCTTTCGAACATGGCTGGTCAGTGACACGATAAAATGAATGTGACGTCTTGATCGGCGCTGAGATGAGGGCTCAACCACTGAAAAAATGAGGGCAGCAGATAAAATCACTACAATGGTTTGAACGTTAATGCGAACGCATTGTGATATTAAACGGTGATTTGACTGATAAAGCATGTGTGCAGTTGGGCATCGGCATTTCATTCTATGATTTCATCATTTCGGAATCTACTTGAACCATACAAAAAGGATAGCATTCAGCTGGCTTAACGATGCAACTAACAGCCGTAGGGTTTCGGAGTCGCCTCCGCTGTACGTGCTTCACTGACCGGGAGAAATTTTGTGTTCTTATATCGATGCTGGTCTGCAATTTTGCACTCCCATATCGATGCAGGTGCGCAATTTTGTGCTCTCACATCGACGCAGGTATGCGGTTTTTTGGTGGCACGACTGAGGCAGCGTATAGGGCTGAACACAAACGTCAGATATTGATAACGTTGGCAGAATCTGCCAATGATGTGTTATAGCTTGCAGTGGATTTGGAGAAAGTATCGACAGCGGAACATCGCTGGTTGGCAAGGCGTACTAATGCATTGACTATATATATATATATATATATATATATATATATATATATATATATATAGTCATATATATATATATAGTCATATATATATATATATATATATATATATATATGTGTGTGTGTGTGTGTGTGTGTGTGTGTGTGTGTGTGTGTGTGTGTGTGTGTGTGTGTGTGTGTGTGTGTGTGTGTGTGTGTGTGTGTGTGTGTGTGTGTGTGTGTGTGTGTGTGTGTGTGTGTGTGTGTGTGTGTGTGTGTGTGTGGGTGTGTGTGTGTGTGTGTGTGTGTGTGTGTGTGTGTGTGTGTGTGTGTGTGTGTGTTATTATATATATGGCGTATCTCACTGTCTTATTTATGTGAATAATGTTCCTCGCCAATGCACTGAACAACCTATGAAATGTATGACGCATGCATTTCTGGCAATGCCAACCATTTTCGGAGAAAATGAAAGGAACATTTGCCAGTGCCTGTGCACCAGCCATTGTTTCTTTGAATGGGAATGTGCGACAATGAAAACACTTGAAAATTTCAAGCAGCATTCCAAAACTCACAGGATCATCAAAAGGACGCCTAATTTTCACAGTTTTACCATGAAAACAATAATAAAATGCAACACGCGATGTTTGTCCGCGCAGTGACACGCATGCCTGTTATCACACTTAAGCTGTCAGCGTAGTCGAATGTGGCAGATACCCGCCAGCGCCTGGCGTGCTGTCTATATGGCTGCCAATGTCTGTCCTTCGCCCCGCCATATTTTGTTACGAGGGTCTGGTAATTCCGGCCACGCTCGGCGTAGTGTAAAGACTGACGGTGGTCCGAGACCTGGGCACACCAGCCATGCTTGTTACGGGGGTCTGGTGATTCAGGTCACGCTCGGCGCGGTGTAAAGGCTGACGGTGCTCCGAGACTTGGGTACACCAGCCACGCTTGGGTTCTCGCCGGCGCAATCAGCGGAGGAGATTGCAGTGTCGATGGCGGAGATGTCGGGAGTGTAGCAACACTCGGCCAGCGCCGGGTCTTTCGCACGTCGTGAAGCCAGCTGTAAGCGCGGCCGGGAGCACCGATCACTCGGCCAGCCCAGTCACGGATGAGAGGATATTGACGGATCCAAGCACACTCGCGTGCGCCCTGGACGAAAACAACTTAATTGGACAAACTTTATCAGAACGGCTTCGGCGTTAGACCTGCCTAAAGCAATTAAAACCCCGCCAACTTCGCCAGATGGACTGTTTAAACTGCAAATCGGCCGTCTAGGCACTCGCTTTCAACTGTCAAATTGTCGCCCAATCCATGATGCTTCGGCGTGATGTGTTTCTGTGACACGCTTCAAAACTTTTCAGTGCTGATGGTAGACCGCCAGCACCAGGAAAAAACCTGTCACGAGCTGCATCATGGGAGCACCGTGACGTAAAATGGAAATAGTTTGGGTACCTAAACGATGCTAGCTGATTGGCCGTGCCAGTGAAGCAAGCTATGGGAATGAAATACGAGCATCGTCGTTTTTCGCGGGCTGACAGTGTTGTCTCCCCATAGTTAAGTTATGCGCCCAAGGCATCTGTTAATATCACATTTTAGACAAATGGGCCTCTATAGTGCATTGCAAAAGTGGATTTAAAGCGTGATTTTAAGAATTTTGGAAGTGCATGGAACCACAGTGTATGAGACAAACGGTTCCGGTGCAGTACCCCACTTTATGTAATTGACTCGTGCACCACGAAATAGAAAACATCTTACCGAAAAAGCCGCATAAAGAAATTTGGTAAAATATTGGAAAACCAGCAACCTAGACATTTTCTGCTCTAGGCATTTCATATCATACTTAGCAAGAGTTAGAGAACCTGGCAGTGAACAGAAAGCGACTCGCCCATGACCAAGGCAAGGAATTTACCCATGACGAGGGCAAGGGATTCACCCATGATTTACGCATGAAACCATAAGTAACGCACTAGATGCACCGTATTTGAAAGTACAATTTCAGCCTTCCATGGTAGTTGTTTGGCCCGCAAATCAAGCAAACGATTTGCTCACCTGAGGCTGAGACCAGCTGTCCCGCAGTATATATATATCCCGCAGACCAGCTGTCCCGCAGCAGACACCACGCTTGCTCTCTTCACACAATCCCAGCCACCCAGCGTTCCAGGCCGCAGATGAAGCCAGCCCGCTGCTCAGAGACGCCGCCTCAGTC